CGTGCCTGCACAATGCCAAATTCTGAAAATTTTTATCAGTGAAAAGCATACCGAAAACAACCCCAAAACGCAGTATATGCTGCTAATCCCCCTGTTCTGTTTCATGTTTGGTGGAACTGTTTTATTTCAAATACCCTGTGAAAGGATAGACACTTGACAGTCACTTCTTCTGGATGAGTCTGGAAGATAACAAACTGAGCCGTCTGCTTAGAAAAGACACTTCCAAAGAGCTGCTCAAACCCGTAGATGGAGCTTCTGGATCACAACAGGCTCTGCTGTTTTTTAAGGATCTGATAATCAAATATTTTCTTATCCTATACACCAATCTAATTTGTTCTAAATTTAACACTCTTTAGTGGAGTGTGGATGACAAATATCCGTACTCAAGAAACTACACCTTAGAAATGTTAGATCTCGTCTCCCATGTGTATTTAGCCATCAAATTAAAGGGTCATCTGCTTGGACGTTTTGAAATCCAGAATAGGTCAGGAATAATGTCTGCCCCAGACTGCTGCTGTTTAAATGAATGTTTTTAGTCCAGAGTTTTGTCACTTTTGTCAGAATGCCCGATTTGTAGATTTTGTAGGGGGTGGGGGGGGACACGCCTGGGTGGCTCAGTCTTTAAGCATCTGACTTCAGCTCAGGTTGTGATCTCATGCTTCCTGAGTTCGAGTCCCACATGGAAGAACTCATGCCCCAATCTAAGTGAGCCCCGCTTCTGTCTCCCTCTCTCTCTCTCTCTCTCTGCCCCTCACTCGCACCCTCTCTCTCTCAAAAAAAAAAAAAAAATCTTGTGTGTTTATCGATTATAGCTAAAAACAACAAAAATTGCACATGTATACACACACAATGAGAGAGGAAGCAATTTAAAATGAAAATAGGGGCACCAGGGAGGCTCAGTCAGTTGAGCATATGACTCTTGGTTTCAGTTCAGGTCATGATCTCCAAGTGTCATGGGTTTGAGCCCCCCATCAGGCTCTGCACTTACAACGCGGAACCTGCTTGGGACTCTCTGTCTTTCCCTCTCTGCCCCTCCCCTGCTCATGCGCTGTCTCTTTCAAAATAAATAAATAAACTTTAACAAAAAATGTTTTAAAAAAATAAAGTGAGAATACAATAGAAAAACAGTAGTTGCTTCTTGTCACGCCAGAAAGAGAAAGAAAGACATAATTGCCTACATTTACAAAAGAAGCAAATAGTAAGGAGGAAGAGTTATTCAGGGTCTAATAACCAGGAATTACAACCAAGATTCATGGGAACAAAATATTTATGCTGTGTGGCAGAGATGGCTTGTGGCCACAAACTATTTCTTCTTCCTCAGTGAAAAAAAGAATCCTGATTTTACTTGGGCAGCCATGAACTCAACCAAAGGATGTTATTTCCCAAACTCCCTTGCAGCTAGGTTTGGCAAGTGCTTAAGTTCTGATCAATCACCTATAAGCAAAGTGCTGAATGGAAGTGGACCTTCGGGTGGGGAAGGGGTGAGAGGAAGGGAAGAGCCGAAGGCTGCCCTCAAAAGTCTGCCTCAGCTTAAAGGCAGTTCTTTGCAGCCTTCTCCCTTCTGGAAAAAGGAGCTCCAGAGCCAACTCGGACCATGGGTTAAGATGGAACGTGCCCCGATGATGTAAAGCAAAAAGTTAAGAACTAAATCCCTAATAACTTCGTGGCACTGCTGTGTTTACTTAGAGCAGCTATCTCTGGACTTCCACATAAGAGAATCAACTCTTGTGCATTTATTGTCATTTGTCTTGTTGTTGTTGTTGTTGTTGTTGTTGTTGTTGTTGTTGTTGTTATATTCAGCTCTGTCAAAAACCTAACTGATTGAGATTAGCGGTTGGAGATAAATCAATAAATCAACGGCAGGGTCCACTCAGTGTGACAGAGCAGCA